CTACTAAGGGCATCCTTGTAATATGTCATCCTTTAAGTTAAGTATAAATATAATGAGGGGTTGGTGGCTAGGGTTAATTCAAGAATCCTGGTTGACTTCCTACTTTTTTCTCCCTGTCTTTTCTTCTCTACTACTGAAATCTTTATCTTCCTCCCCTTTTCCTTTCACAAGAAATTCAACTAAATCTACAATCAGTGATTTCTACTGACTGCACTAAGGCATACACCTTCTGAACTGATGACAAGTCTTTACTTCCCAAGATCTGCACTCTGATGGACTCATATGAAGGATTCAGCCCTAGRAGGAAGGCAAAGACCCGTTGCTGAGATACAAGTGACTTATACGCCTTTGCATCTTCATCAGACTTCCAATTCACATTCTGGTAGTGATGAAGTTCTTTCCATATCCATGTCAAATTAGAATAGTACATCGAGAGACTCCTCTCCCCCTGTTTGCAAGTAGAGGATTCAGCTTGCAGTTGGTATATCTTGGCATAGTGTCTCTGCTCTGAATAGGTGGACTTTGCTTGTTCCCATATCTCAGAAGCAGTTTTAGCCCACATAAAAGTCTTCCTTACCTGTGGCAGCATGGAAACCAAGAGCCATGACATCACCATACTATTCTCTTGGTTCCACCTATCATATTGAGCACTTCCGTTATTTGGTCCCTTCACTCTCCCATTGATGTATCCTATTTTCCCCCTAGCAGTGATGTAGAGTTTTATTCCCCCAGACCACTCAAGGTAGTTCAGACCATCAAAGGGAATAACAACCATGGGGAAATTCATATCCATTCTCCCACTCACTCCATTGTGGCTCCCTGAAATCTCAGAAGTAGCAGAATTCTCAGACGACATGGTAAACACAAAGTTTTTGGATCTAAACTCTCAACTTAGGGTCCCTCCTTATATCGACAAAAGCTCCACAAACAAAAAACAGCACCAATTTCCAAAGAAGAACTATGACGAGACTGATTTTCAGATCTGCATGAAGAACAGTCCCAGCCTACTGGTTTTCCAGTAAGTTCCACCATAGCATTAATCAATAAGAGAGATCCTTATACGCATGAAATCAGACTAGCGAGCAAAGAAAACAGGTCATCTATGACCTACAATCTCCTTTTCACAGGTACAGGATCACACGGTCCAACAAATAAAAAAAGGTATAACCCTCACAAAAGTCCGCGGACATTCAGTGGTTTGGATTCATTTGTTCTCCACTTGGTACACGACCAAGGAAAGAAATTAAAGAAGAAAAAAAACTTTAGGGTTGTACCAGTTGCAGATCTGATTTGATCAGCCCAGATTCAGTCCTCTGTTCTGCCTTGATTCAGCAACTTGAAGAGAAAAACTTGGTCGCCCAGATTCAACAACCTTGCTCTGATATCTTCTTGGCAATAAATCCGATTGAAATATGAGGAAGTAGAGAAGAGAGGGGAAGAAGAGAGAAAAGAAGAAGAAAGGAAGAAGAAAAGGTTTGGAGCAATGGAACAGTGCTGGCGGCGCCAGCTTCTATTATATTATATAGGGCAGCAGAAATAAGAAGGGAAAATACTCTTTTGCCCTTGCTGTAAGTGAGTACAATAACAGAAATAACAGAAAATAAAAAAACACTTTAACTAGCCAAACAGACCCTAACACAAATAACTAAATTATTTCAACACTCCACAGCTGGTGGAACAAACACATGACAACTTTTATTTATTTTGTCTTGTTTTTTTTTTCTTTTCACTGAAATTTGGTTAAATTTATGATGCATCCTAGATCCCGTACGAAATTGCAATGTGGAATCAAGTTCTTTATGTTCTATGATTAGTTTCTGTGAACAGCCTTAAACATATCAATGATAATAGAAAATAAGAGAGAAATAGGTCTGAAACTATTGTGGACAGTAAGAAGGTAGAAAGGGGTGTAAGAAATGTGGGCTGAAAAAACAGAGGAGATCGATCAGTTTTAGTCTCGACTGCCACCCATTTTATTAATAATATAAAGAGAAGACACTTATATCTGTTAATAACTTCTAATAGTTTCCCTATCATTGTTAATAAGATACTGCCTGGACTGAACATCAATCCTGTATTTCATACTATTTCTTCTTTGCAGGTCAAGGAGGAAGATGATGCAATAATTACACAAAAACTTCAACTTCATTTGAAAAGGAGGAGACACAGGAAAAGGTGTAAACAGGTCAGGTGTTATTTTTAATACTTTTGTTCATTTTTTTTCTTTTTTCATCTAAAATTTCTTTTTGTTATGATGTAAATCTATAGCTATGCTTATGGTATTTTCGGTCATTTATATTCCATTGTACAATTGAAACATGGAGTTTAGTAGAGGTCTTAATATGGCGTTGCTGCAAGAAAGTTTTTGTGAGTGTATGAATAAGAATGTCAGAGTTTGAAAGATATGTGTTTGTTTATCATTTTGTAGTGTTCAGCATGATATCCTGATGTTTTCTGCCCATGTGAACCAGGAGGTAATTCAGAAAGAGGTTTGCTCGGTTGATCAGATGCATGAAAGCAATGCTATCAGCTCAAAACCTTCAAATGGATATTCTCACTTAGATTCAGGTGATGTTGCATGTGGGGTTGGTGAAGGAGTTTCACGGGCTAACAATAGTGAAGCTTTTCATCCTTCGGGGTTCGAAGTACTCGACAAACTTGAAATTTCTATGGAGCTTGAGAAAGAAAGGCCAATGGAGAGTGGTACTTCTTCAGTGCTTGTTGAATCTTCTTCAGCTGATTTAGCTGAACCCAGAGGATCCAAGCGTGCACGTGATGGAGAGGATCCAGACAATGAGAACAAAAAGACTCGTACTGTTATTATTGACAGTGATGATGAGGGTGGTGTGGTGGATGATATATCTGCTTCTCATGTTTGTAATGGACAAAACTTGGATACAGAATCCAAGTTGCTGTCTACAGAAGAAGTTGATATTGTTGATTCCAAGTCTCTTCCTCTTCAGAGTCAAAATGTGATGGAAGAATCTGACAATTTTCATTGCACTGTATGCACTAAAGTTGTCAAACCTGATGAAGTGCGCCGCCATCCGCTCTTGAAAGTCATTGTATGTGAAAATTGCAAGTGTTCATTGGAAGAGAAGATGGATGAAAAGGTCAGGTTATATTTCTTTGGGAATTATTTGAAGGATTTAACTGTTATTTTAATGAATAAATGTTAATTTTTCATTTAATTTATGGTTATGGGTGTCAGGATTTGTCATGTTATGATATTGATATACAGACATAGAGTGTTAGTCAAAACCATATTTATGTATGTAYGTGTTTGGATGGATTAACATGTACTGAAAAGTATGGTATCTTTGTGCTGATGAATTTATGGGTAGTTTGTAGCAGAAATTTTATAATAAGTTGAATAAGAATGGCAAGTATAAAATATAAGTGGAAGAGAGGCCTCTTTGCTAATCCGTTTTTTTAGTGAAGAATTGTAAACAAACCAAGAATCTTTCACATGAACAGATTGTTAGGGGTTGAAAGGTATGGGTGATTTTTTYATAGTTAAAGCAAATAAGTATAGTTGTTAAGTTCAAAGAGGATTTATCCACATATATGTATTATATATATTATATATAATATAATATATTATATTATATATATATTTGCGATATGTGATTTATCATAAATATTATGGATAGAAAAATGATGTAAATCAAGATAAAAAACTGTATGATGCTTCAAAGCTCTCTACTCTACCACAGTGAAAGGAAACAACATTAAAGCTTGACTATTTTTCTTTGTTTTGTGTAATCAGCAAAAGGGTTGACGGGATCCTCCATCTCCCTTTCTTAAAGGGGAGGTAGCATCTTGTGCCTCTTCTTGTGTTGCATTTTTTTGGTTTTGATTTAATGAATCTTATTAATCAATGATAAAAAAAGTTTGACTATTTTTCCTTTTTGAGGGGCTATAGATTACTGCAAAGTGGCTGAATTGAATGACTTATTTGTTTGCCTTTTTTGTAGATTAAATAATTAATAGTTAAATGGTAAAATGTTTTACCTTATATAAATCAATCCAATTTCAGCTTCTGCTGTTAAGTTGATTTTTAATTTGTCAATAGGTTGGAGATAAGTTGCTTATGAAAAATGTAATGTATAACATATGAAGCTTACATCAGTAAAAAGATGGTTTGATTTTCCCTACTTAGCAAAAGAAAGTTTGATAAGCTGGTCTTGTTTCCAGTTATTTTATCAATCATTTTTCCAATTGTTGCAAGTCATTTGATCTTATATTAATCAATAATTAATATTTCACCTAATATTAATCAATCCATATTCAGTTTCTGCCATTAAGTTGATTTTTAATTTGTCAGATGTTGAAGGTAAGTTGCTCATAAAAAATGTAAGTTATACATTGTTTTTTTTTGATTGGAAACGGTAGCTTTCTTTGAATTAGTAAAGGAGGACAATGCCAATCACTCACCTATGTTGCTTACATCAGTAAAAAGATGGTTTGATTTTCCCTACTTACCATTTATGATTAAGAATAGGTCTTTTCCACATTAGCAGGGCAGCTGCTTGGTGGTAATGTTTTCAAGAAAATTCTTGGAGGGATCACAAACTTTATATACACAAACTTAAAACCCTTAAATACAACTTTTACCCACTGATGACCCAGTTGTCTAGGGTCACTTGCACCCTTTCGAATAGGGGGTGTGGGATCAAACCCACTGAACTGCAGGCTCTCCATAGTACGATCAGTATGTCTCATGTACGCCCTTCTCTGCCCTACCCCTGATTCCCCTGTAATGTTTACTATGTAATACCGAAAATAATACAACTTTTACTCACTACAAGATACAGTAAGATGGATAAATCAGCTTCTCCTTTCAATCATGCATTCAATATGTTCCTATTCCATATTACCCCATTAAACCTTATTTGATAATTTATAAAGGTGATGATGAAAACATAATTATACAAGAAACACTAACCTTCAGTTTATTTTAACAGCTCTGTCCCTCTTGTATCCAGACAACATTGAAGAGTACCTTACCCTATTGGTATGGTAGTTTTAGATGTTATATATGTCATATGCACTCCAGCCTCCTGTACATAAACCCATCAAGATCTTGGAACAACCTCTCTTTCCATCATCTCTTGCTTTTGGTGGCAGAACACTTTGCATTGACAAATGCGTCATAGCTGTCGATGTGAAGCTTCCTGCCACAGGTGGGGTCTTTGGCCAGTTGGTGTTCTTTAAACCACACCTTGTGCCCTATTTCACTGCAACCCACAAGTTCAGATAGATCTTCATGAGTTGGTTGAAAGGGAGCATCACTCCCAGCCTAATTATTTGCAGTTCTTGAATATCCTGATTGAGCCAGAGAGACTACAGCCTGGATTTGTAGGATGAGTGACAGTAGATGGACTAGACATCCAAGTGGCAAGGGGTTGAACTGGTGCTGATGTAGGTTGAAAATTCGGAAAATGAACAATCAGGGATTCTAGGAAAATTTGAATAGAGTAGTAGACTACTAAACAATATGGTTCCATGAGTAACAAAGCTGAAGAGGTTATGCAAAAGCATAATAAAGCTATCGTGCATTATGGTACACATTCACAATAATGTAAATATACAGGGAAGTCATTTTCAACATGAAATATACAATTAAATCAATTCAAAAATTAAACCAGCCTCAATATATGAAGGTTAAAGCAAGACAAATGGCCTTTAAACTTCCTTTGGTTAGTAAGGATCCTTGGTCTTGAGCTTTTGAGACTAGGAAACTGCAGTTTTTCATGAAATAGAGGATTGACTACAATAAGCTTCTTAAGATCAATCAGCATCATTGTTGATTTGTAGTCTTGGTCTCTGTATTTACTTGTAGATGGTTTTGGTGTTTAATGTATAAACCCCATAACTTATCAACTTCGTTATCCTTATTTGAAAAATGAAGAAACATCAAATTGTCTTTGTGAAATCAACCTTGGTGTTAACTATGCCTGTCATTTCTTTACAGTCATCATACTGGAAATAAGTACATTGCCATGTTCTGTATATTATATTGTTATTACAAATATGCCCTTAGCATGGTTTTTGAATGCTTGTTTATTGTATTGGTACATATTAAATTCCTATTTTTCAAAGATGTTCTGTAACATACATATTAAAGTAACTTTGATTAGTGCAGTTCGATATAATGTAATTAGTGTTTGTTTTATGAGATAATATCATATAAGGGCAACTTTTTGCCCTTAATATCAATAAAAAATACTATTTTTATATAATGACCAAAAAGGAGTATTTTTTTTGGGAAAATATCAAATAAAGGCAGTATCACTGTTCATCATCTTCCTCTGCCGTTGTGTAAATCCTCCGGCAATGGCCTACCACCCTATCAACAAAAAAAATAAAAACAGAGTGGGTTTCTTCTTCAGGTTCACAGACCTGAAGTAAGATTCTACCAACGTCGGTAGTATCTGTGAAGAGAAAGATGATGGCCTACAGTTTACAGAATCGTAAACTTCAGGTTCACGGAATTGTGTACCAGATGCAGAAAAAGACGATCGTTAACTTCAGGTTCATGGACCTCCTCACGGCGATGGCCTACAGTTTACAGATCTGTGCTTCAGATGCAGACAACGTGGTATGCCGGTACTTGTTGCTGCGGGAATTGCAGCGAATCCAATCGGGAAGACGGTGTTTGCCGGTACTTCCTCCAATGTTGATACTACCAACGTCGGTAGTTCTGCTGGGTTCAATTTCCAACCAAAAAAATACTGTAAAAAAAGAAAGAAAAAAGAGGCCTTTCCCCGGAAAAAGGATCGTCCCACACCGCCGGCGATGATGCTGGTTACAGCTGTCATGGTACCGGCCTTGTCATCCTTGGAAAGATATGAACAGCAACAGCTTGCAATGCCGATGGTGGATCCACAACCCACAATTGCGGTGGTCTGGCAATGACATCCACCACTGCAATTCCGCCATCATGTGAACGAATAGCACAAACCTTACCCCCGCTGACTGCAATTTGCACTACTCCTTTGAGATGGGCTGACTGAATGAGCTCCTCCCAGCAATCCCCTTAARAATTGTATCTCCTGAGCATTCCTTTGGTCTCATCAATCACGTATAGCACATTCTCGTCCATCGATGTATTCTGGGTTTCTACTTCTGGTGTGCAAGATAGAGTGGGTTTCTTCTTCAAGTGCGGCAGATAGAGTGGGGTATAGCCTCGATGGATGGATATTTCCATTTCAACGTTAATGGAAGCTGAGATGTGCAGTTCTTTAGAGCTGGATACAGAGGTGGAATGCCTCCTCTGCTCCCTCCTGCACCGTCGAAGTGGGTGAATACAGAGGCAGAGGAGGAAGACGAGAGACTGCCCTTTTTTGATATTTTTCTAATAAAAGTTATCCCATTTTGATTATTATGTAAAAAATATTACTTTTTATTGATATTAAGGGCAAAAAGTTGCCCTTATCTGCTAGAAACCCTTGTTTTATCCTTGATTCAAGTTAGGTCATTTATCATCTCTACCAAATATTGGCCTTTTTGCCCATTGAAGTTGGTTTTTGGTTTGCTTATTCTGTTATTCATATCATACCCTTTTAACATAATTGGCTGCAGCAGGATCCTGATTGCTCTGAGTGCTACTGTGGATGGTGTGGAAAGAGCAAAGATCTAATCAGTTGCAAGTCTTGTAAAATGTTGTTCTGTGCTGCATGCATAAAGAGGAATTTTGGTGAAGAATCTTTGCCGGAGCTTCAAGTCTCTGGCTGGAAATGTTGTTGCTGTTGTCCGGATCCCTTGGAACGGTTGACTGTAGAATATGAAAAAGCCATTGGTGATGGAAGTCGCACAGTTTCAAGCTCTGGCACAGACAGTGATTCAGAGATTTCAGATACTGGTTTTACTGTTTCAGTAAGGTAGTTTTGCATTATTGATTAGATCTGGGTTCATAGTCTGCATTTACATGTGGTAGGATCTATGCACTGGCCTTTATGTGTGATTTATTTATTGATGTTACAGAGCTAGTGTTTCCTTTCTTAGTTTTATTTAGTTTTATATGTTGGATATGTAAGCATATGTTTCAAAATTATGTATTAGCTTGGTGAATAGGCACATTTTTCTGAAGCTTTTTTTAAGCAATTAATTGTTTTTGATATCTGATCCTCAAAATTTCTATTTTTGTGTTATAAAATTGTTGAAAGCATCATTTCAGACTGAGCTCTCATTTTTTTCTTTCTGGTTCAGTACTAAAAGACGCAGGAAAAAGAAGATAAGGAGGATTCTTGAAGATACTGAACTTGGAGAGGAAACCAAAAGAAAAATTGCAATTGAAAAGGTAACATTTGTCTGATGAAGTTTTTATTGCAAACTTATCTTGGGTCTCTTATTGTTTTATGTGGTTCTTTTTGTAGGAACGCCAAGAACATCTCAAGTCACTAAAAGTACAGTTTACTACTAAATCATGGATGATGAATACCGGAACCGTTAATGGCTATGCATCAGAAGGTGGTAGTGTTGAAGTTCTGGGTGATGCAACAAGTGGTTATATAGTGAACGTTGTAAGGGAGAAAGATGAGGAAGCAGTGAGGATTCCTCCCAGTATCTCATCGAAATTGAAACCCCATCAGGTTTTTTAATATATATATATATATACACACACACACACATTTGTATTTTTAAATATCTAGTGTCTCCTGCTGTTTGCTTGATTTTTTAATACTTTTCAAGTTTCAATTAACAAGAAACATTCAGAAAGATCATTCTATGTTTCGTGATTAGGAAGTTTGACATGGCAAGTGTGCAATGCAACTTGTTAACAGATCACCACTTTGGCCCCACCTCCTGTTTGCTTTAGCTACAATTTTTTTGATAATAAAGTACAAAAAAACTAATTGTTTAATTAGATAAGTTGAAATCAAAATGGTGTCTTGAATAGTAGCACCCCAACATTAAATGGAACAACAAAAAATGAAACAAGAAGATTATATCTCAAAATCATCCATTTATTTTAATATCAACAATATTCAAAATAAGTATCTTTTAAATTGTCTTCAAACTCTTGGTGAGTTATTAGGCAAACTAAAATAAGACTACTGATGTGAGCACATACTACCGGAAATTTCATTCCATCTTTTGGCTGCCATTGATGCCAATCTTAGAGATAAATAAGATTCTGAGATATAGCCTGAAATATAGGGAAATACACTATTAGTATGGATGATTGGCTTGTGATGATGATTGTGTCATCTGTGAAATAGACAAAGGACATATGATCAATTATTGTGAGTTTTGAGGACTTTTATCTAATCACCTGCATCGGCTCTTTGTGTCAGTCTACTTAGGGCCTTGTTGACTAGTATGAAGAGAAAGCAGGGATAGTGGATCATCCTGCTGAAGACTCTTGCCATTCTTAAAATAATCCTTTAGAGCTCCTTCAATTAGTACTGGCCCACATTGTTATACAAAACTTGAATCCTTTCTCTCCATTTGTACTCAAAACCCACTGTCTCAACAATTAGTCCACAGACATCCTCTGGATAGTGTACAATTCTTGTCTTTGGCGAGATTCTTGGTTGCTTCCTTGTTAGAATTCGGCCTGCGTTTGAGTTCTATTAGTCTGATAACAGTCAAGAAGAGAGAGGAAGAAAGAGGGAAGAAAGAGAGAGAAAAGAGGAGAAAAAGGGAGAAGAAAAGTCTGATTTGAATTAGGGTAAAAGTTACTCCCCCATTCGGCCAGACATGTTTTTATATTATTAAYAKRATGGAAAAGACACATGTGCCCTTATTTAAGTGAGGGACACTAGTTCTAATATAATATTACAGATCAACAACCTCAACATAAGTATAAAGACAGAAATACCCCTACACTAACACTACCCCTC